ACTTTGCCTTAAAGTCAGATTCTTGAAAGTAAAATTGATCATGAGTCCTTCTTAGACTTGAAATGAATTCAAAAGAAACTACGACTGAATTTATCCTTGAATTTTGAATGAAATGGAGTTTTGAATCAACATGAATTCATCTGAACTTATGACCAACATTAGAACCATTGAGACCTTATCTGCATCAATCCCTAGCTTGTACAATTTACCCAACGCCATTTTGATCGTGAATGAACCAAAGACTTCACTTTGAAGCATAAAATCCTAATTGCACCTTGATTTCTCATTCATGAAGCACATGCCTCATTCTAGTCTAAGAACCTGATCCCTCCATAACAGACTTGAATTGACACATAACCCTAATTAAATCCTCAGCCACACATCACCTAATTCTTGTACTCTGACCTTAGCCAAATCCCTGCTTGACCAACATTAGAACCAATGAATTTCAATCAACGTTGCACACACTACTGCCCTTATAGCCTCAAATGCATCTTGCAACAACTTGAGTTGAGCAATAAGAAGAATGGAAGCAGATACGACATATTTTTTTTGATTTTTTGAATACGGTTAGCGGATGAAAGTACATATGTAAATTATACATAGGTAGAAAAAATTTGGGGTATGACAATAATCAAACATTTCACCAATCACTATCATGTTATAGGTCTTAGTGTTAACTTTCTAATTCCTCAAATGACACGTCATTTGGGTATACGGATCAAAAGTTATGGCCAAAATCGTTGAACAATGCAAAACAACACTCTAAAAGTTATGTGTCGACACATAACATCTACAGGTTGGCTCATGACCTGCACAGGTCGACACATAATATCTATAGGTCGACTCACGTACATCATTTTAAAAGCATATAATGTTCTATTATATGTGATGACTACATATGTCGGCCTATGACCTATGTTGGTTGGCACATGACCTTCATAGGTTGGCACATAATGCGATTTTTTCCCAAAAATCATTTTTAAACCATCTAAACACTCCCTCATGTGCCAAAAACTTATGCTACTAAATTCCACCAAATAAATCCAATTTCTCATGGTTATAACTTCCTAATTCATCATCTACTCCATAATTTTCATGAATCAACATCATATTACAACACATCATCATACGCATCATCTCTAAATCACCAATAATATAATCAAGGTCAAAACCTTAAAACATCAATCAATGGTATAACATCATCAACATAAAAACAAAACATAAGCATACATAAGGTACACAAATTTCACACTAATTCCATCATACAATCAACAATTATAACAGAAACATCATAATTGAGATTTAAAACACTCAATCTTAAGGAGGTTAAGAGTTTCTCCATTCTACCCTTACATCACACCCCTTATTATTGAATTAATTTCCCACCCTTACCTGATTTTCGGCAAAATCCCTTTGATCCTTAAATTTCGTCTTCGACCTCAAACATTTGCTCTCCCTCTTTGCCTCTTTTGCTCCAACTCTCCAAAATATGCACTTACACTCTCAAATTATCAAGTTCCCTATTTTATTCCAAGACCTATTTCCTTTCATTTAGACTCTTTCCCTTTTACTCTTCAACTTATCCTTGCATCCATTTCCTATCCTCCATATTTTTCTTAATTCCAACCTTGCCCTTAATTTCTCTACACATCTTATTTCCTCATCATATAATTAGTTAATTCAATTGGCCAAAAAAAGATTATTCTAAAATGTTATTTATTCTAATAATCAATTAAAATTCTAATTAAACATGTCAAGCTCTCACTCTCTCTATATTTCTACTTCAAAGACACTTACCCCCATAATCATACCAAAAATAATTTAAAATACCAATTATTCAAGTAAGATCCTAAATAATTTAATTAAATCGAGTAATTGGATTTGGGGTATTACATGAATCATTTCCTACTATGACGGAAAATTGATGAATTGGGGTAGCTTTTAGGTTTAGATGATGGGCAATGCGAGGTTGCAAGATATTATGAGTGCTTCCTGTATCAATTAAAACCATTACTGATAAGCCACCAATCAGTTCTCTAAACTTGAATGTTTAGGGAGAAAATTGATCATTCAATGCTTGAGATGACAGCTGAAAGTAAGTATCACCTAGGTCCTTCTCATCCATTTTTGGTTCAATGTTGTCTTGGACAGAATTATGTTCTTCCAAAGTGTCATCTTCAGCCAAAAGTAGTATAAATCTACTAGTAGAGCATTTGTGTCCCATAATAAAATTTTCATCGCAATTAAAACATAATCCTTGAGTGCGTCACTCTTGTAACTGGGTTTGGGATAGACGTTGGATGGGTAGTCTTGTTGGAAGGTTAGTATTTTGAAGTTCAGGAAGGTATTGTCCTTTTGTGGAATGGTCGCAAGTTGGGGTTTTAAGGTTTAAGGGGTGTTGTTGAAAGTGAAATTAGGTTTAGGGTAAGAGTTAGGGAAGGGCTTTGAGAAGTTGGGTTTCGCATCTCTGATTTTAGACTCAATGAGTTTGGCTAGGCCAATAGCTTGGGAAATTGAAATTGGTCTATGAATGACCATTTCATTATGAATTTAAGGGATTATACCATAAATGAAACAATTCAAAATTGCATCTTGGGGTAATCCAACAATCGGATTACCTAATTTTTCAAATTGAGTTTGGTAATCCATAACAGAACCATCTTGTTTTAATTTGAATAACTCACCTTGATGATTATCATATGTTGAAGGACCAAAACGTAATTCTAATACTTTTGTGAATGAAAACCAATCGGTCAATAATTGATTCTGATGGATCAATTTAAACCAACCTAAAGCACCACCTTTTATGTAAAAGAATATAAAAGATAATCTATTTTTTGGTAGTAATTGATAAAAATTGAAAAATTGATCAGTTTTAAACAACCATTTTAATGGGTTTGATAAGTTAAACATAGCAAACTCTAGTTTAGAGGTTCAAAAAGGGGGTATTGGGAGAATTTAAAATAGGTGAGAATATGGAATCTATTGAAAAAATAGGATATTATAATTCTGCGTGGTTGCAAAAGTTGTGGGGGAAGTGAGGTAGGTTGGTTAGGGTGGTGGTTGTGCGCTGATGTTTCGCATAGCAGCCGTGTCAGTAGGTTGTGAAGGGGTGTTAGAAAACGTTGCTGAATGTCTTAAAGGGTGTTGGCAGGGGAAATGACATGGGTAACAAGGGATGTAACCCTATATAAAGATGAAGGGTTTTGAGTGATACTTAAAGAGCTAGCTGCTGAGTGAACAATAGCAGTATGATATTGTTTCTTTTTTATAACTAGTTTGTTGAAAATATACATAATTGAGTCATATCTAAAGTAAAAAATTTGTTTATCATTATCCATTTTTGTTGAAAGCATCAATGTTAGGTCACACAAAGACTATCATATTGATCTAAATTGCAAAAAAAAAAAGAAATTTAACTTTTCAAAATTTTCATTACCAATATAGTTAGGGTTTAGATAAAGGTTGGGCCATGAGCCACTAGACTAACAATAACATAAGAAAATAAGTTTAGAGAATAATACTAACGATCCCCCTATTTTAATAATAAAAATCTTTAAGCAAAACGAATTCTTTTCTCTCTAATGAGCTTCTTTTTAACAGTGAACTGATATTTGTCTCCTTTTGTTTCTGTAAGGCTGTGTTTGGTGGGATGGTTTGTAAAATGGTTTTGAGGCTAGTTGGTGTTATTTTGGAGGCGCCTTTAGAGTTGTGCTTGGAGGTGTGTCTTTGCAGGTGTCTGGCTGCACTGGTTTGTGCTGTTGTGGTCTTTGTATGGTTGTAAATGCTTAATGGAACTTGTTTGGCTTGTGGCATTTCTTATGCCAGTGTTTATTAATAAAAATTTGTTTTGGCTTTTAAAAATATATATTATATGAATTCAATAGCGCACAAGCATTCGCTGTACACGTTCACCTATTCATTTAGAAGCAGTTTTGGACAACATTGTATTTATAGTTGCAGCTAGAGAATCAATTTGAATTTTATGTTTAGATCTTCAATTCAATCATCTCAAAGTACATATTCCTAAACACTCCTATGAATTAGGCTTCACGAAGCTAAAGCAAATGAACATTTCAAAACATGCTTGTTAACACAACAATCATAAAACCAAGAACCAAAATCACCATAGAAACAAAGGTAAACACTACAATAGCTTAACATATCCTACATAAATTAGATCATAACTAAGTACATCATATCACAAATCATAGGCTTGCTTGCTAGTGAACTTGACCTCAATAGGACTTGCATTCTTACCAATTGACCTAAAGTTCACACCAACCCCTTGGCGCCCATGGGACAGAGATACGGTCATTGGGTTTGGGAGTAGAGAGAGGTGGGGTGAAGAGGGAGGTTTGAGTTGCCATGGCCATGATGAATTGGACAGAAAGATTGTTAGATTGTAGGGTTGTGAAATATCAAAGGTTGTTTTGGATGAGTGTGGTGGATGTGGATAAGATTATATGATGACTTGGACCAATTAGATTGTGTGATTTTGATTGCATGTCTCACAAAAGGTTCACAACTCATATTCATGAAGCTTGATGCTCAATAATTGAGTTTTAAAGGATTTTCAAAATCTATTATTTTCCAAAGTTTTTTAACTTATGTTTGATTTTTAAGAATTCAATGACAATACGTTTCACTCATACACTCTAGTCTAATCTTGGCATAAAAAAAACATGACAATGCAGGAATAATAATCATGGTTGACATAAGCAAATAATTTATTCTTTATAAATATGGATACTAGATACGATATCAATACGTACATATCAGACACGGTATGGACACGTCCACACCAATAATAATTTGAAAAAAATACAATAATTGAATATAACGCCACATGTGTTAAAGTCGTGTCAAACACCAGACCTATATTTAATCTGAAGTAACATACTCCATAGTTTATTCGCCACCCAAAGCCTTAAGTTTGATACATACTAATAAATAGCAAAGAATTCAATGAGGAGATACTACTAAGCTGAGCAAAGTTAGATGGATATACTATTAGGAATTCCCTTTCCTGTGAGTCCACCCTCCCTAGAATAATCAGAGGTATTGGGAAACAGAAGGGTATAAGGCAATTTCACAGGCCCATTTCTGTTTTTCAAACTTGGATCCTTGTTCCTTTTCATGATATTATTCTCAATCTCCAACAACTTCTGCGAAAATCGCTTGAAAGCTGCCAACGGTTCAGCATCTAAAGTCCAGTCAGGATCTACTGTCTGTCCAAGGTAAACTTCCTCAGTCGAATGCCTCGACAGAACTTCTATCAATGAGACACCAAGGAGAGTTTGAAACTGAGCAGTGATTGTTTTCAAGAATGCTAATTCCGGATCAAATTCAAGCTCTTCATACTCTGGCGTACCTGGCTCAGGCATGAACCTGCGACTAACCGTTGGACGATTAGGTAGGTAACCGGCATAAGGGTACTGTCCAAAGTTCACTGCTGCATGAAAAGCAGAAGCCACCCATATAATAATAGTGCATGATTGAATGAGCTCAATTCTTGTCTTCATTTGTGGCCACCATGACTTATCTTTCAAGTCACCATGACCCTCATTGCGAACTTCTTTCCACCAGCGTTGGAGTTCATAGTCATTCTCAACCATTTCATCTGATGTGTAGTAGAACTTACAATACTCACTCACCCAAGTTTCAATTGCATCCCATATTTCCAGCCCATCAACAGCAAAAGGATAGTCTTCTATCAGAAGTTTGAGTCCATGAGGGCTATTTGAATCTCGAACCGCTATCCCTCTGAAAATTTCAGTCAGATATAATTACAATTTTATTTCGATAAATTAGATTAGAATCCTATCCGAAGCAATATAAGAAGTTTATGATTTTGAACATACCTCTTGAGTAAATTAGCAGGCAATGCCTGCTCGGTGAACACCCAATCTTTATATACAACAGCCGACATTTCCAGGGCGTATTTACCGGGAAAAACTGTTTTCTCAAGTACACCTCCAGCATTGATAAGTGTATGTCTAGCTAAGGAATTTATATGCATTGTATCCTTAAAGTGTGGCTTCAAGAGCTTGTGAACCGGATGAAGAAGACTCAGTTGTCTGTTTGTGGCTATTAAAAATGGTTCAATCACTGCATGAGTATATAACCAATGGCTAACTAGTTGATGATATCCAGAGTCATTCACAGCAGCATATGCTTTAGCCAACTGCCAAACGGTGGCTGCTACTCCTTCTTGTGATGGAGTGAAAACTTTACTCACAGCTCCATGTTGTTCACCTTGTGGATGAGGTAAGCTTAATTCAATAGCCAGTGGCTTCAATGTGCCATCATGTTGTAGAAATAGAACTGTTCTGGTAGCATAAGTCTTTGTGTTTGTAGAGTTTATTCTAGTTAGGTATGGCATTAGAGCATCATGGTGGTCTAATATATATAGTTTATTCCTTTGAATAGCCTGCAACATAAAGAAGATCAATTTCTGTTATAGATAATGATTACAACACTTCAACATGGATTTGGCTTCTTTTCAAGGGTTGTTTTAAAGAAGTGTAAGGCGGACTATCGCACAGGTGCCAAAATCTTGCAGGGTTGAATTGTGGCTAAAAAGACCTTAAAAATTGTCACGATTAAACTTTAGAAAAATAGTCTGTATTTTCTATGTCACTGTTAAACCGTGAAAAACCTACACAAGACTTCCGAAAACTTGAGATGACTCTATTTATTTCGTATAACTATAGTCAATGAATAAGTGAATTTTGATCAATATTAGTACCTCATCTATTGTGAACCCATCTAAACTATTTGTTATGTGCTTTTCTTGGATTGAACTGTTTTGGTCTCCATAGACACTAGGATCTAGCTGGCTTTCTGGAGGAAATTCCTTCATGTAGCAGCACACAAATATTCATCAATTTTGAAAAAAAATATATTTGTTTTCATTTTCTAATTTTACTTCAAATTATAAAATCGTTACTTGGAGACGGCGGATGATAATAGGGTTAACACCAGCAAGCATTTCTCTTGCAAACTCCTCGTCGGTCCTCCATGCAGTCTTACTAGCTACAAAATATATCAAACATTAACGATGCGAAAACAATATCAATGATTCCGTCCTATTGAAGGTAGATTAAATCGGTCTACCTTTGATCACATCAGGCACTGGGAATTTGAGGAATTTCTCACCATCATTCCTAACAAGTTCCCTAAGAATCTCATAAGGAATAAGTTCTCTAATTTTACTCTGCAAAGCTCCACTTGGGAGCTTAAAACTTCCCTCATAAATATCAAACACGTCTTCAAAAGTATCAAACTCATTGATAGTTTTGTCACACAGAGATTTAAGCTCCGGAAGCAAAACCTGAGCAACTGATTTGAGTGCATAAGCTAGAAAGTCCGAGAACTTTACATGGCCAAATTGTTCATCTCTTGGTACATAAACATTAAGATTCAAGAGATGCAATCTTGACTCAGTTTTAGGATCTGCAACAATGACACGGTGAATCAGATCAACAATGACTCTATTTTTCTTTCTACAACAAAATTTCTAACCTGTTTTGGTAGGTGGACGACCAGTTCTTCCTCGACGCGGATAAGGAAACATCTGTGATCCTCCGATAACGGGACGTGCATAATCTGGACCATCATCTGGAGTTCCTAAGTCATTGTAAAATGCATAGTCATATACTCTATCCCACTCATTGAGTTTTCCAACTCCTTTACCACGGAGGGCTGCAAGTTCTTCTTCTCTCAACTTGCGCAGTGGCTCTGGTGTTTCACAGGGAAGATAAGTCTGAATCACAAAACCAGCTTCTTTAAAATTATCAACTTGAGAGTAAAAAATATTGATTTGAAAATGATGCAAAATAATAAGAGGTAACAAATTATACTTGAGTGAATAGACTAATTAATCTTTGAAGTTGTAGAATGATCAAAATAGTCCCTCAATTTTCTAAATTGGCAAATAGCTTCTAGAAACTAAAAATGTCATTCAAAATAGTTCTTTTGTTAACTTCTGTTGTAAGATGTTATGATGTGGTAAGTTAACTTGACATATTTATCACATTGTAGAAATATGGAAATGTTTTATATATTTTGTAAAGAATACATGAAAGGTATTTATAGATTATACATTTAGGAGAGGATCGAGATCTACTGTTAGGAGAGGATCGAAGGGCTGCCAATTAAAAACACCAACAACGATGACAACCGAACAATCAAGGGCTGCAAACAGCAAGTAAATAGAGGTACAACAATGAAGGTTGTCCTAAAAAAAAAGGTGAAGGTGAAAACGTCGGGATCTGCAACGGCGGTTGAGCGGTACACGATGGCTGCAAAATCACCAAGATCACTAGGGTTCCAAGAGAAAGGGAACCTTGACAAAAAAAGAAGGACCGTAATAAGAACGGCTAGTGTTTTGAGCGCGGAAGCAGAGCCCCTAGAATCGGGAGCTCTGATACCATGTAGACATATGAAAATGTTTTATATATCTTGTAAAGAATACATAAGAGGTATTTATAGACTATACATCTATCTAAACAAGGGTGTAATTATTCTCCTTATAAATGCTAATTATTCATAATAAATTGTATAGGATAGCAGCTCATAATGAGCTGTATGATATTCAACATATTCTAATAATAATAATAATAATATTACAATACTCCCCCTCAAGCTGAGGAATAGATATCTATCATCCCCAGCTTGCAAGTAAGATCTCGAAACCGCTCCAATGGGAGTCCTTTGGTGAGCACATCAGCTAACTGGAGTCCTGATGGGACGTACTGTGTAGAAATAAGACCACTATCCAATTTCTCTTTGATGAAGTGTCGGTCTATCTTTATATGCTTTATTCTGTCGTGTTGGACCAGATTGTGAACAATACAAATAACAGACTTATTATCACAGAAAAGTTTCATAGGAGCTTCATATTTTATTTTCAAGTCATCTAGAATGATCTTCATCTACAACAATTCAAAAACTCCTTGAGCCATCGCTCTAAACTCTGCCTCTGCACTTGATCTAGAAACTACATTTTGTTTCTTGCTCCTCCATGTCACTAAGTTTCCACCTAAGAACATACAATATCCAGTGGTGGATCTCCTGTTAACAATCGACCCTGCATAATCTGCATCAGTATAGACCTCCATAGACAACTGCTCACCTTTCTTGAACAATAGACCTCTTCCTGGGCTCATCTTTAGATACTGCAGGATTCTATCCACAGCCTGCAAGTGCCTCTCCTATGGATCGTGCATGAATTGACTGACAACACTGACCAGATAAGCTATGTCAGGCCTGGTGTGAGATAGATAAATGAGCTTTCCCACAAGTCTCTGGTATTGAGCTTTATCAACCCTTGGACTTTCCTCATCACTCCCAATCTTGTGGTTTTGCTCTATAAGCACCCTGCTGGGTTTACAACCCAACTTGCCAGTCTCTTTGAGAAGGTCAAGAACATATTTTCTCTGAGAAATGAAAATGCCTTGTTTTGAGTATGCTACTTCCATACTTAGGAAATATTTCAACTTTCCAAGATCCTTCATTTCAAACTGAGCTGCCAACTCCTTCCTCAAGTTCATCTTCTCAAATTCATCATTACCTGCTATGATCATATCATCTACGTAGACTAACAAAAGAGTGAGTTTACCATTTTGAGAATGCTTTATAAAGAGAGTATGATCACCTTGACTTTGTTTATAACCCAAGGACACCATAACATGAGTGAGCCTTCCAAACCAAGCTCGAGGTGATTGCTTGAGCCCATATATGACTTTCTTTAATCTGCAAATCTTATTACTTCCTGAAGTAGGGTCATATCCAGGTGGGATCTCCATATACACCTCTTCCTCCAAATCTCGATGCAAGAAAGCATTTTTCACATCAAACTGTTACAACTCCCAATCAAAGTGAGCTGCCAAGGAAAGAATGATTCTTACAGTGTTCATTTTTGCTACTGGAGCAAATGTCTCTTCATAATCAATTTCATAGGTCTGGGTGTATCCCTTTGCAACTAGCCTCGCCTTATATTTATCCAGTGTGCCGTCGGATCGGTATTTTACCGTATATATCCATCTGCAACCTACTGGGCTCTTGTCATTTATCTTCTCAATAATCTCCCAAGTACCATTTTTCTCTAGTGCATGCATCTCTTCATTCATGGCTTGAATACAGTTCTTATCCTTTAATGCTTATTGTACTGATGTAGGGACTCTAATAGAGTCAATAGCTGAAATAAAACTCTAATGCTGCACAGAGTTTTTTTCAGTAGACAGAAACTGGGATATAGGGTATTTAGTACAAGACCTTTTTCCTTTTCTCAAAGCAATAGGTAGGTCATTAAGGTTCAGCTCACAAGAATTACTAGGCTCAGGGTTAGGAACACTTACCTTAGGTTCAGACGATTGGACTTGTTGGGGGCAGAACGGGTTTACCTTTCCACCTTTTTCGCTGGAACTGTAACTTGTATCTGTCAACATTATTATGCACCAGTATTGGTACATCACCACCATCCTCATTAGGCATCAAAGGCTCTTGTATTACAGGAATAACAGACAATTCAGGAGACAGCTCTGGGTCCTGTATTAGAGGAATAATAGGAAGAATAGACAACTCTGAAGACTCAGCTTCTTGATTATTCTCCCCTGAAGCCGAGGATTGGGATAAAAAGACTCTGATTTCTGAAAAGTAACATCCATGGATATATAGACACGACTACTAGGAGGATGATAACACTTGTACCCCTTTTTATCTGAAGTATATCCTATGAAAATACATTCAATAGCCCGAGGATCTAACTTACCCCGATGCGGGCCATGAATATGGAAACATGTAGAACAACCAAAGACACGATTCTGAAGACTTGACAAGATGGGCACAGACGGAAAGAATCGAGTCAGGACCTGCACAGGACTAACACCAGATAACACCCTAGAAGGTAACCTATTGATTAAATAAGCAGAGGTCAAGACAGCTTCCCCCCAATAAAATTTAGGAACATTCATTTGAAAGCGTAATGCTCGGGTGATTTCAAGAAAATGACGATTTTTTCTTTCAGCAACTCCATTTTGTTGTGGAGTGTTAGCACAAGTCAACTCATGAACAACACCATTAGTTTTAAGAAAATTGCAAAACATTTGGTTTACATACTCCTTACCATTGTCTGGCCGTAACCGTTTAATAGGTTTCCCAAACTGTGTTTTGACCATTTGAAAAAGTTAACAAACAATTGACACACTTCAGACTTATCTTTCATAAGAAAAACCCATGTAACCCGAGTACCGTCATCAATAAAGGTAACATACCATTTTGCCCCAGAAATATTGGAAATGGATGAAGGCCCCCATACATCATAATGAACAAGATCAAAGGGTTCGACACTCCTAGTATTACTAGGGGAATAGGTTGCTCGATGAGATTTGGCAAACTGACACACATCACAATGAAAGGAATCAATAGACACTTTGGTAAATAAGTGAGGGAATAGAGACCTGAGCATCTGGAAAGGAGGATGTCCAAGACGTCTGTGTTGGAGCCATATTTGAGTATTTGCCCATGACTCTGAACCAGCCTGATGACACTTACTTTCCTTATGAGGCAGACAATATAACCTGTTCTGTTCCTCAGCAATTCCAATCGTCTTACCTGTGGCAAGGTCCTGAAAAATACAATGAGAATGAAAAAAGGTTACTACACAGTTCAAGTCTTTAGTGAGTTTATGGATGGACAACAGATTGTTAGAAAGCTTAGGGACATGAAGCACATCATTTAGGTGGAGAGATGGGCTTAGGTGGATGTTACCAGATCCGACAATCGGGGTTTGAGACCCATTTGCAATGGTAATATGGCGTTTATTAGGTAAAGGTGAATAAGAAGAGAGATATGACATATATGGAGTCATGTGATCAGTTGCACCAGAGTCAATAATCCAAATATCTTTAGAACAAGAGATATTAAAAGCTAAGGAGTTAGAGTTCTTACCCATCATGGTCAGAGAACTAGTGTTAGAGAACTTACTCAAGGAGTCCATAGAGAGAAACAAACCGTCTCGAACCAGGAGAGGATCGAGATCTACTGTTATGAGAGGATCGAAGGGCTGCCAATTAGAAACACCAATAACGATGACAACCGAACAATCAAGGGCTACAAACAGCAAGTAAATAGAGGTACAACAATGAAGGTTGTCCTGAAAAAAAGGTAAAGGTGAAAACGTCCGGATCTACAACGGCGGTTGAGCGGTACACGATGGCTGCAAAGTCACCAAGATCACTAGGGTTCCAAGAGAAAGGGAACCTTGACAAAAAAAGAAGGACCGTAATAAGAACGGCTAGTGTTTTGAGCGCGGAAGCAGAGCCCCTAGAATCAGGAGCTCTGATACCATGTAGAAATATGGAAATGTTTTATATAAGATCAGAGTAAATGTCAGATGAATAGAGAATAAACACTTTAGTTCCAATCTATAAAAACAAAGGAATAGACAAACTGTGCAAATTATAGGAGGATTAAACTTATAAGAGATACCATGAAATTGTGTGAAAAAAAGTGATTGAAAGGAGATAGAAAAGAAACTCTAGTTATTGATAGTCAAGTTGGTTTTATGTTTAGGAGGTAGACCATGGAAGCGATGCATCTACTACAACGTGTGATGGAACGATATCAAATAGACTAATAAGACTTGCACTTCATTTTCATTGACTTGGAGAAGTCGTATGATAGAGTATCTAAAGAGATTTTGTGGAAAACCTTAAATAAGAAAGGGGTTAGGGTTGTCTATATCCGAGTTATCTAGGATATGTATGAGGGAGTATCAACTAGTATGGAGACATATAGTGGAGAGCCTTGAGTTCATTACAATGGAATTGCACCAAGGTTCAACTCCAATCTCTTATCTTTTTACTTTAATTTTGGATGTACTCACAAAACACTTTCAAGAGGTATCATCGAGATGTGTTTTTTTTTCTAGATGATATAGTCCTACTTGGAGAATCGAAAAATAATTTAAATGAGAGGCTGGAGACGAGTCTTAGAAATATATGACTTCCATTTAAGTAGAAGTAAGATGAAGTATATGGAATGTTAGTTAAGCAAAAGGATAAGCGTCTCTAATATAGAGGGAAAAGTTGGAGACTATATCATACCACAAGTCAGACATTTTAAATATTCTGGATATGTAATACAAAATGATTGAGAATTCGAAGGGATGCAAACCATCGAACTCAAGTGGGTGGCTGTAATGGAGAAAGATCTCGAAAATTTTGTGTGACACAAAAATACTGCTAAAGTTGAAGGAAAAATTTTATGAAGAAGCGGTAAGAACTGCAACCTTTTACGAGACAAGTGTTGGACAATTAACAATCAACACAAAAATAAATTAAATGAAGTAAAGATAAGAATGTTGAGTTGAATGTTTGGTAAGACTATACGTGATAAAATTTTAGAAATAATAATATTAAAGTGTTAGGGATAACACTATAGTTAAAAAGATTGTGAAAAATAGGGTTAAGTGATTTGTGCATGTAAATAGAAATTTGGACATTCTGTTGTAAGGAAAGTAAATCAAATAGAAAGAAATCAAACAATTAAAGATAGAAAAGTAGATCAAATAAAAAGGAGGCAAACAATTAAAGGTAAATAGAGACTAAAAAAAACTATATAAAAACTATTCAAATATATCTTAAAATTAACATATTCAAAATAAACATGATATTGGATAAAACATTATAGCGTAATTTGAATAGAGGGTTCATGGGTGTGATCAACCCGCGAACCCTTCCACTCAAACCAAAATCTACCGCGTTTTGATTCCTAAGGCGAAATATAATATAAGTTATTCTAAAAAAATATTTAAATAAAAATTAAATCAAATATTTTAATTAAATATATTATATACTTTATAATAATAATAATAACTTTTATAATAATAATAATAACGTAAAAGAATTATCTATAAAATTTTAATAAGTTATTTCAATTAATGAAAAAAATTTAATAGAATAAATATTATATTATATTTGTTATTTTTAATTTATTTGAAATCATCTAATATAACTTACTATATTTTAAAGCAAATTATTTATAATTTGAAAATATTTAGACAGGTTTTGTGACTTTTGTCTAATATCCAGTTTCCGAAAACATTTAACATTATCCACTAATACAAGGTTTTTCTTATCTAAAAAAAATCTAAATTAAAAAGTAAAGCCACATTTATTTTAAAGCAATTTTTTATTAAAATAACAGTAAATGTAAAACAGGATGTAGAATAACAAAATGTAAAAGTAAAATAGAATTGATAAACATCCGACCATATGACACACAAACATCCTCCAAATATTTATGTTTTTTAATTTTTGTAATAACTTTCTGTTATCACTTTATTTTGGCAAAGGTAGACCCAAGTTTAGCTGTCAAAACAGACTTTACTTTTGCAAAGTGAATGTCATGAATAAAGAAACAATAATAAATTTAACATAGTACTATAATATAACTTTATTCTATTATCAAGAAATGAATTACCTTGTTTGCAAAGAAAACACGATCATGTGTGTAACGATGAGCAGGGTAAATCCAAGAGTTGCAAACAAAAGTTACAGGACCATGTCCTGGAATGTCTTCAATGGTAACTTTCTTTAGGTAAAATTGGCTATGGTGATTATTTCTGATTTTGAAAGCACCAGGAACTCCCATTTTCTCATGTTCCCAATCAAATGTCACTGAAAATTCTGTGTCTGATGCTCTTGTCAACGATGTAATACTTGAAATCCACCTCTCCAAGTACGCCATTTTTCCATGTTTTCCTTGCATTCCCTTTGCTATGCACCAAAAATTATTGATTATTATATATATAATATTTCTTATGTTACTAGTACTAGTGTTAGGAGAGTGAGAAAACCTGGATCAGGAGTAGTAGCACTAATGAGCTGAATAGAGACACCTTTGCCTAAAAACTCATGAACACGGTCAAGAACATTGGCTTTGATATCATGAAAATCCAACAAGCTCTTCTTCAATAAAACCACTTTTCCTTTAACACTTTTTTTGTTATTCATCTCCATTATTTCTTCTTGCTATCCAAACACTACTTTCAATATAAGTGCATTTGTACAAATAGATATTAGAGGTATGCAGTATTGGAGGGGGGAAAATAAGGTAGTACTATAATGTATGTATTATACTAGGAGAGATTAAAGAAAGAGTTGAAAGGTGGGACCCACACGGGTTATCTCTTTAACCATCCACAATCAAAGAATGTGATTCAATAGACTTTTCTTTTTTTGTTGACATAAGTAAATTCCAAAATGCCAAACAAAATTTTCACCTTGTCACACTTTTACTTTTTTTGTTAAGTAAGTTCAAGGTTTGGTATAAGGATTCCGTCATTTGGATTATAGTATTACATGTTATAAAATAGACGAGTATAAGATGATATATTTTTTTTTCTTTCTTTTACTCATTTTACATACTTGTTAACCTGTTTGGTATGTTATGATTTTGATTAGAATAGACGGATGTGCATTTGCTTAGATCAACATTAGATTTTTTGAATATTGATTGCAGCTATTAACACGAGTTTTTATAATAGTTAGGTGGTTGAATTATAGAAATGTGAGAAAAAAATAAAATATTATTGTCCATACATAATCCTGACAGATGATAGTCCAAATGATATTTATTTTTATATAGAGAATCACATACAAAATGATTTAGATGTATATTGTAAGTTTGAAATCCAAAAAAGTGAAGTTAACAAAGGAGTTGAAGATCCACTTATTTTATGTGTTGTATTTTATTAGTTTAATAAGATGTATGTTAGACTCTAATTGATGTAACTTTAATTTCTGAGTTGTTGTTGGGTTGTAACTAACATATTTAAATTTTAAATATATTTTGTTTACGTTGAAGCAAAGAAATTACATTTGACTAACTAATAACTTAAGTATAAGATAAACTAAAAAAACAAACATAATTGTTTAAAGTTCCTGTCTTGTTCGGACAGTTTTAGCACATACGACCGGTTTGGCGACAAATACCATATTTTCTTTTCTTTTTCTCAATATTATCCATTTCGGTTTTAATGTGGGTAGTGTTTGGAAGATCTTTTTTGTTTTGTTGCGTAACCTCATTGTGACAAAGAGTGTCTCCTTCATATTGAAGTCAATAAACTTCATTCAGACCGCCGAGGAAGCTTTCTTCGTATACCTTAATGATGCTTACAACTTTTGAGGCTAAGACTTGATGTTAGTGGATTTTAATGGTTGAGTACGAAATTATTAGTTATTAAGAGTGATTGATGGCTAGTTTTAGTTTAAATAGTGCTCTTGAGCATGAAAGTGGCATCACTTGTTATTTCTATACACTTTGTAAGATTCAGCTTTAGTTTTTTACTCTCATTTGTATTTCTTTGTAACATTGTTGTATTTTCTCTGGTTTTCTTTATTTAAATAAAACTTTCTTTTATTCAAGTTCTTTACTTGCAATTGCTTTACTTTATTTACTTTGCATGATATGTCATTTACTTGTTTAATTATTGTTTACCTCACCATGAGTGATTAGTTTTATAAGAACTAGGGCTCGTGAGAGTCTATCTCATAACGATCTTCGATTGATTTATTCGAGCATGAATTATGAAAATTAAATGCATTTTTATTTTAGAGTCCGAGTTCTTAAAACTATTTAAGTTGGTTGCTAAAGCAAAGGCAACCCAGATACGATTGTAGTCTGAAAGGATATGAATCAACATCGGACCACGGATTGCTAAACAATAGAGTAGCAAGGCATTCGTCATGGCAAGGAGACTCACTCTCGATTGAGAAAACCTCTTAGTTGTGCTAGAAATACGTCTAGATACCCATGCCACGAAAGTGGGTGTCGTACACATTATCTACTTTTTTATAAATTACTTAGATATTCTCGTGTTTGAATTTAGATAATCAATAGGGTAAGTCTTGATAGACGATCACAACTTTGTGTCCTGTTTTATTTATCAGTTAACTCTTATTTCAATTTTTGTTGAACCGACCAAAATTGTGATCTCCTTAGCTTTAGGATAAAATTTAGTACTCATACACATCTCCCTGTAGGTTCAGTCTTATTATCTTACTTGGGCAGAAGCAATTAACACAACATGTTACATTCAGAACAGAGTGTCTGTTAGACCTCTTCTGGAAAAGACTCCTTATGAATTGTGGAGGAATAGAAAGCCAAACATTTCTTATTTCCATCTTTTTGGATGTATATGTTTTATGCTGAACACTAAAGAGAATCTTAACAAGTTTGATTCTAAAGCACAAAAGTGTTTCATGCTTGGATATTCTGAACGCTCTAGAGGCTACAAAGTATACAATACTGAGACACATATTATGGAGGAATCTATACATGTTAGATTTGATGATAAGCTTGGCAATCAAAAGCCAAAGCAGTTTGAAAACTCTGCAGATGGAGAAGTTATTCTCACAGAATCTTAGAAACCAGAGGTAGAGAAAGCTCAAGAAGAAGCTACACCAGATGCAACTCCATTGGCTGCTCAGATGAATAACATGAATATTTCTGAAGAACCAACAGTTAAAGGATCATCCAGAATCAAAGCTTCTCACCCAGAAGAAATGATTATTGGAAAGAAAGATGACCCTATAAGAACAAGGTCGTTTATCAGATTATCTGGAACATCACTCGTTGGGTTGGTGTCTATTATTGAACCAACATCTGTGGATGAGGCTCTGAATGATAATGATTGGATACTTGCAATGCAAGATGAGCTGAATCAATTTACAAGAAATGATGTTTGGGATCTGGTTCCAAGACCAAAAGGTTTCAACATTATTGGAACAAAGTGGGTATTCAGAAATAAACTAAATGAGCAAGGAGAAGTTGTTAGGAACAAAGCAAGGCTAGTATCTCAAGGATACAATCAACAGGAAGGAATTGATTACACTGAGACTTATGCTCCAGTGGCAAGGTTAAAATCTATACGCCTTCTTATTTCATTTGCTGCACAACATAACATCACTCTATATCAGATGGATGTTAAGAGTGCCTTCTTAAATGGTATTATAGAAGAAGAAGTTTATGTCCACCTCCTGGTTTTGAAAATGATAAATTTCCAGATCATGTTTTCAAACTCAAAAAATTTCTTTATGGTTTGAAACAAGCTCCCAGAGCTTGGTATGAAAGATTAAGTAATTTTCTTCTGGAAAAGAACTTTATCAGAGGCAAAGTGGACACAACTCTTTTCTATAAAACAGTTAAGAAAGATTTACTAATTTGTCAAATTTATGTGGATGATATTATTTTTGGATCTACCAATATTATGCTGGGAAAGGAGTTTGCTTTGTCTATGCAGGCTGAATTTGAAATGAGCATGATGGGAGAACTTAGATTCTTTCTGGGAATCCAAGTAAATCAGACTCCAGAATGCACGTATATTCACCAGACTAAATATGTCAAAAAGCTTCTGAAGAAGTTCAATCTGAATGAAAGCAAATTGGCAAAGACTCCAATGCATCCCACAAGCACACTTGGTAAGGAAGAGGTAAGTAAGAAAGTTGATCAAAAACTTTACAGAGGTATGATTGGATCTCTCTTATATTTGACTGTTTCAAGACCTGATATTTTATCCAGTGTTTATCTGTGTGCTAGATTCCAATCAGATCCTAGAGAATCTCACTTAACAGCTATTAAGAGGATTCTAAGGTATCTGAAAGGTACTACTAACGTGGGTATGTGTTACAGAAGATCTGATGATTATAAATTAGTTGGATTCTGTGATGCTGACTATGCTGGAGACAGAATAGAACGTAAAAGTACTTTTGGAAGCTGTCAATTCCTTGGAAGTCATCTGATCTCATGGTTCAGCAAGAAGCAACCCACAATTGCACTTTCAACAACAGAGGCAGAATATATTGCTGCTACTAGTTGTAGCACCCAGATGCTCTGGATGAAAAGTCAGTTGGAAGATTATCAGATTTTTGAGAGTAACATTTCTATTTTCTGTGATAATACTTCTGTTATATGCTTATCTAAAAACCCTATTTTACACTCTAAAGCTAAGCATATAGAGATTAAACATCATTTCATCAGAGACTATGTTCAGAAGGGAATTATTAATTTAAACTTTATGGATACAGATCATCAGTGGGCTGATATCTTTACAAAACCCCTTGCTGAAGATAGATTTAAATTTATTCTGAAAAATATAAGTATGGACTTCTGTCCAGAATAAAATATTCATCAGATGAAATTTTTATTCAGATGATAAATGTCTAAACTCTGAAGTATTTATTTATTTCAACTCTGTGTTTATTTCTTTGTGTGTAAATCTGAACTAGCAAAGCTCAGAGGATCTGAATGTTGCCTAACGTTTCATTTCTCAAGAAGTTTCAGAGGCACATGCAAGCAAACACGTGTATCTCAGAATCTGGAAAGATAGAGTGCACCATACTGAGTTGACGTTTGAGGTATTTCTTTGAAAATCTAAAATCTCTTGATTTCCCCCCCTTCTGTCAGAATCATAAATGCTTGAAATGATTTTATTCTTTGCATTAATTGCTTGATATGATTATTTTCACTTCATTAATTGTTTTGTGTACGCGTGAGATTTTGTGTAACCTTTGCTTGTCCAAATTTTTTTTATATATATTCTCACAACACTTCACATTTCACACTTTCCACCTTCCATCACTTTTCTCATATGAATTTATGTCTTCTTTATTGCTTCCATCTCTTCTCAAAACCCAAAACCTCACGAAAACCAAGACGTATCTCAAGAACATCAATGGCATCATCTTCAACATCTGCTCAGATGCAAACCTCTACTGTTGTTGTGTCATCTCCAAATGCTGCTGCATCATCTCCAACTGCTGTTGTGTACAAGGCACCAGTGAGAACTCTTCTCACTCCAATAAAGGATCTTGAGGTTCTGTGTGAAAACTTTGTGGATTTTGCTTCCATTGAAGAAAATGGTTTTGATTTCAAACCAACCATTAAGACTCCAAACTGGGCAAAGTACTTTGACAGGTTAATGGGTCCTGTTTATCCAACATTGGTAAAGGAGTTCTAG